GGGGGTGCTTCACTGTAGCCCGTGGACCTCAAGGAAGGAAGAGCGGTTGTTTGCAAGCTAGTGAACCCTATAGTAGTTTTTATCCAGCTTTCTAGCAGATGGACTTTTTGCGTGTGTTTGTTGTGCTTTCCCAAAAGTTTGCGCCTTGGGCCTCCCAACCTCTAGATTGTCTGCCACCTTTTTTCACCACCTGTTGTTAATATTACCCCCCCTGCAATTGTTAAGCTTGTTTCTTCCTTCCCACAGTTACCAGCCTAGTTCAGGCACCTGTGATCTCAAAACAGAATTGTTCCAACAGGCTCCTGGAAGTCCTAAACAATTCTTGGTGGACTGGTATGTGGCAATCAATTTAAAAAAATTTTTTTATTTATTTATTGTTCCCGATTCTCCTTTTCTTTTTGAGTTTACATCTTATTGCTCTGATTAAATCCATTGTCATCATTTTCTTAATGCATATATAGGTTCTTTTGGAATTATGTTAAATTTAATCTTTATGGTTGAGAATTCAAAACAATCCTTCATGAAAGAATCTGATAATTCATATTTTAATGTGTACCTCTTGGTTAGTTAAGACTGCAGTGGGTATGGAATTGGTACTCTTGGTCTCAGTTTCTTAATGTCTGTTAAATGGCAGGGAGGTATACAGCGAATACCTCATGTTTTCTATATATGTGTTTTAGTTTCCTATTGCTGCCGTAACAATGTATCACAAACTCAATTAAAAAACACAGATTTATTATCTCACAGTTCCTATAGATCAGAAGTCCAGGTAGATTTAGCTGGGTACTCTGCTTAGGAACTCTCAAAGCTGAAATAAATGTTTCTGTAGTCCTGGGCTCTCCTCCTGGGGGCTCTGGGGGAGAATCCACCTCCAGGAGGCTCATTGAGGTTGTTGGCAGAATTCATTTATGTGCCGTTGTAGAACTGAGGTCCCCATTTCCTTCCTGGCTCTCAGCTGAGGTCTCTCTTAGTCCCTTAAAACCACCTGCATCTTCAAAGCCAGACAACACCTTTTGTGGTTTTAATCTCTCTGACTCTTCTGTCACCAGCAGGAGAAAGCTTTTTGCTTCTAAGGGCTCAAGTGATTAGATTAGGCCCACCTGGATAATCTCCCTATTTTAAGGTCAGTTGTGTTGTGTAAAATAACAGGATCATAGTCTTGGAAATGAAAATCTCATATTCACAGGTTCTGAGGATGTGGTGGGGTGGGGGGAGTCATGGAGGTCATTCATAGAAATTCTGCCTAGCTAGCATAATGTGGTTGTCTTAACCATATTATTTTTATAATGTGCTTATGTAGGCATTTTAAAAAACCCTAACAACAACTCTATCTGATCATATGATTATACTTTCTACAGTTAACGAAATATAAAGTTAGTTGTCCAGGGTCACATGTCTAGAAAGTGGCCGAGTTGGTATTTGAGCCCAGATCTACATTTCAGTTAGGTCTGAAGTCATGTTTATGTATGGTTAGAGTGAAGGGCAGCCAAAGTCATCAGGAAGAAGCTGAGACATTATGAAATCTTTGTTGTATCTCATTTTTGGATTATCTCTTTATATTACTGGTTTAGGCCAAGCTCTTCTACCCTAACAAAGGAAGCCCAAAATACAATGGTATAAAAAAGATAAAAGTTTTTTGTTGATGTTTTCATAAATCTAGAGGGAAGAGTCCAGGACTAGTAGGAGGATTATTATAACCTTAATACAGGCATCCCTCATTTTATTTCACTTACAGATTTTTTTACCAATTGAAGGCAAGACCCTCTACCAGCAAAAAGTTTACAACTCACTTGATTGCAGTGGTCTGGAGTCGAACCTGCAATATCTCTGAGGTATGCCTGCACATGGCTTTCATAAATGGGTCCAAGGTTCTGTTCTAGTTGCGACTACCTGCTAGGCAGTGACAAGGAGAGAAAGCACAAGGAGAACACATGTAGTCCTTTATAAGGGCATGACCTGGAGGTGACACATACATCACAAAGCCATACTGAGCTCCAAAGGAGAGAAGGAGAGCTATAGCTGTGTGGCTGTATGCCCAGCAAAAACTCAAGATTCTGTTAAGAAAGAAAAGGAAAATTGTATTGACTGAAAAGAGTCTCTGCCATACCACCTTTTTTTTTATATAATGTTTTATTCTGTAACCTCTGAGTGGAATATTTTGTTTGTCTTTGCTATTAGTTTTAAAACATTGTATTTGAAAGGACAGGAAATTCTTAGTATTAATGTTCCTTGATTTCTCAATTGGTATTTTAATACATAATTTATAAAGACTTTTTTGAGAAATCTCATTTTTCATTTAGCCCTTGTAAAACTCATTTACATTTTGGGTTAGTTTGAATTTTCTGATGAAAATACATTTGTGGGAAATGTTCACGATTGCTTTGGGAAACTTAAAACCATTCTGTGTAGGTCTCACAGCATCTGCACAATTAGAGTACAGCAGCTTGTCATGTGATTTTATGTATTCTAATATTCTTACATATTTGCTCTCCAAAGTTCTCTCTCTCTCAGCCCATTATTCTCTTCTGTACATCTGAATTCTACCTACCCATTTACATCTACTGCAGGTCCCTTCTCCCACTATTACGTAGCCTTTGTATAGGGGGGAAGACTGGAGGCAAACACATCTGGATTTGAGTTGTTGGTTTGATCTGAGGCAAGTTACCAAATCTCTCTGAGTTTTGGTTTCTTTATTTGTAAAATGGTAGTGAATGCCACTCCGGAGATAATATGAAGACTAGGGAGATAATACGTTTTCTGTGGTACCTACTGCAGTATTTGGCAAATAGGAGGTGCTTAATAAATGATAATTATCCTAGTCCCACTGATTATTCCTTGACTTCTAGCACTTTGAGTTGTAGGGGAGGAAAAACACTTTTCCTTCTACCCTCCTAAGTTCTTCTGGTTGGTCCAGCAATCAAATTGACATGAAACAGAGTAACAGGAAAAAATAACCACATATATTACATACGTACATACGGAGGTTCTGTAAGAATGTGGGCCCCTGAGGACAGATCTGGCAGTTAAGGTTTATATGCCATCTTGAGCTAAGAAGAAGTAGGAGGTTGTGATTTGGGCCTTCAAAAGGCAGGGAGGCAATTCACATGGAGAAGGGAAAGCAAATGTTAGGTAAATAGATGGGACACAGAGAGGTCTTTGATCAGATGCTTTGCCAAGTTACTCCCTGTGTATCACATTTAGTTCTTATTAAACTTTCGATTGCTTTCTTCCTGGAGCTGGCCCTCTATCTAAATTCTTTTTGGCTGTTGGAAGGAAAGTCAAAGTTTTTCCTGAGTCTTTTGTTTCTTAAAAATAACAAGCTTAAAATAATCATTGTCCAAAAAAGGCATATTTTGGGGTGGCAAACTCTGCTTCCCCTCAGAGTATATTCTTTTTTAAAATTGGTTTTCTCTCTGACAAGTTTATGAATTTATTAAGGGCTAGCACCAAGTCCTGGATATACTGCGGTCCCTAAATACTGATTTAGTGAATTGGACCTACCATATATAAGAATACTTATGTGGTTGAAGTTGTTAGGGTTGTCTTTTTTTCTTTAGCTTTCCTATTGTGATTGCATCATGGAAAATCAATTGGCAAAGTCAACTGAAGAACGAACATTTCAGTACCAGGATTCTCTTCCATCACTGCCTGTTCCTTCCCTTGAAGAATCATTAAAAAAATACCTTGAATCAGGTATGTTTGTAATCTTTTAGTATAACTATTGTTAGCAACTTAGAAAATTATGAAATTGTTAGAAGTCAGTGAGGGTCTAATTGCTTTTTCCTTTAGGCTCATGATATTTAAATACCCTTAAAATGTCCAAAATTTTCTCTTATGTTAATTTTTCCATAGTTTAAAAAGCCAGATAGTGTTATTAGGCTTACAATAAAAAGTAGTAGTTTTTTGCCCCCACCCCCTACAAATCCCACTCTCTCAAGCAAGTATTTTCAAATAACTTATGTTTCTTGTGTTATCTCCAGGCTTAAACTATTTAAACTTCTTGTGCTACTATTTCTTGGATTTTTCAGTTGTTGCTATTATGAATTAGTTCCTAAAAATATGTGGATTTAGCTCTCTTATACCACCTAACCTTCCTCCCCCCAACATATATGCAATCCAACATATCCACATTTGCCCACTCATTCTTTCAATATAGTTGTACAAATCACCATTTGGGATTAAATTAGTATTGACCTGATTTAATTTAGGGATTCACCTAATATAAATCACTAGTTACCTGAATTGATTTGTCTGACCATTTAGGGTTTATGGTTTTGCAGTTATTCATTCACAAGAGAACCACTTGGTGCATTTTTATCACCTTTTTGTGCATCCCCCCACCCCCACTCCCATTTTTCATTTGCTTAGTTTGTTTTGTATTCACAACTGATTAACCCCCAAATATTTCAATACACTGAGAATCCTTGAATATCTTTAAGTACATAAGATATTCTCTCAGTTTCATTTCTTCTTGGAGGCATCCCCCCAACGCCCTTTTTTTCTCTTGCTCCAATCAGCGTTTCTTGAGCTGATGGGGCAGCTGTTGTCCTGCGGCTTTCCTTTGGTCATCTTCCTGGTAATTCCCTTCACCCCTCCTATGTTGGATTCCCTGGTTCTTGGATTCTGTCTTCCTCTTTTTTCCTCTTCTCACATTTTAGTGCAGTACCTCTTCAGTAGTCTCTTGAGAAAGGGTATCTGGGACCTAAAAGACATTTATTCTACCTTCGTACTTGATTGATTGGCTGACTATAGAATTCTGGGTTGGAAATTATATTTTTAAAGAGTTTTGAAGGCACTGTTTGTTCCTCTTGAGAAGTCTGATGCTGTTTTGATGTTTAGTCCTTTCTATGTGACCTGTGGTTTTTTACTCTCTGGATGTGTCTGGCAACCTCTTTTTTTTTATTCCTAGCATTCTGAATTTCTCAATGATGTCTCTTAGCCTGTAGGGTGTTTTTTTTTCATTTATTTCTTCGAACATGTTGCGGATTCTCTTAGTTTAAAAAGTCATGTTCTTTAGTTCTAGGACATTTTTGAAATACTGTTTCTTTGATAGTTTTCTCCTCACTTCTTTGCTTCCTGTTTCTGGAACTACTGTTACTTGGATCTGGGTCCTTCTAGGTTAAGCTTTTAATTTAAAAATGTTTCCCTTTCATTATTAGTGTGTTAATTGCTGTTAAGTGAGCTTTGACTCCTGGTGACCCTATGAATGAGTGATGTCCACAATGTCCTGTCCTCAACAGCCCTGCTCGGCTCCTGTAGAACCCTATGGCTTCTTTTATGCAGTCAGTCCATCTGGTCTTCCTCATTTCCTGGTGTCTTCTATTTTACCCAGTTCTAGTGTCTTTTTCCAGAAAACCTGCCTTTTCATGATGTGCCCAAAGTAGGACAGCTTCAGTTTTCTCCTTTTTGCCTCTAGTGATATTTCAGGCAAACTCTAGGACCTGCTTGTTTGTCTTTCTGGTGGTCCAGGTTATCCATAGAGCTCTCCTCCAACACCATGTTTCAAATGAATCAATTTTTTTTCCCTATCAACCTTCACTGTCCAACTTCTGCATCCCTATATAGTTATTGGAAATACAAGGGTGTGGATGATCTAAGCCTTGGTCTCTAATGGCACATCTTTGCTCTTGGTGATCTTTTCTAATTCTTCCATTGTTGCCCTTTCAAGTCTCAGCTTTCTCTTGATTTCTTGGCTGCAGTCTCCATTTGAAATGGTGACTGAATCAAGGTAAGCAAAACCTTAACAATGTTGCTATCTTCATTGTCTATGTTAAAGTTATGTATTTCTTCTGTAGTTATGATTTTTGTCTTGATGGTCAAATTCAGTCCTGCTTTGGCACCTTCTGTCACTTTCATCAGAAGTCATTTCAAATCATTGCAACTTTCTACCAGTAAGATGGTATCATCTGTATATCTTAAGTTATTGATATTTCTTCCACCAGTTTTCACTCCTTCCTTTGAGTCTAGTCCAGCTTTTTGTATGGTACATTCTGTGTGCAGACTAAACAAAAAGGGAGATAGAATACACCCTTGTCTGACACATTTGCTTATAGGAAACTATTCTGTCTCTCCGTGTTCTGCCCTGACAGTGGCTTCCTGTCCACAATACAGGTTACATATCAGGATGATCAAATGCTGAGGCACGCCCATTTCTTTCAGAGCAATCCATGCATAGCTTTTCATGATCTGTGCACTCAAAGGCTTTACTGTCATCTATAACATATAGACTAACCTGAAATTCTTTGGAGCACTCCAGTATCCAACAAATGCTTGCAGTTAGGGTGCCTCTTTCTTTTCTGAATCCAGCTTGAACAACCAGTATTTCCTAGAAGGTAAAAGCTTTTGTTGCATCGCCTTGAGTATTACTTTACTTGTGTGGGAAATTAAAGGCCTTAGAGTTACCACACATCTTGGCATCTTCTTTCTTGAAGATTGGGATTTAGTCTTGGCTGGTGTGGCTCAGTTGGTTGGGCATCGTCCTGTGCACCAAAAGGTTGCTGGTTCCATTTCCTGGTCAGGGCACATGCCCAGTTGCAGACTCAATCCCCCAGTGGGGGGCTTGCAGGAGGCAGGCGATCAATGTTCCCCTCTCGCATTGAGGTTTCTCTCTCTCCTCCCTTCCTCTCTCTAAAAATAAATAAAAATATATTTTTAAAAAAGATTTGGATGCATATTCGTTGTTAATGCCTTCCCCTTTTTGTTCTGTTACTGTTCAGTATTACCAATCCTTTGTTCTGCTCTCTGATTCGTGAGAGGCTTTCCTCAAATATCTGGCAATCCTTAGACATTCATATTTGAGTCAGACCCTAAAAAGCTGACTAGGAGTTGTGTGTGCATGGGTCCAAGGGCTTGGTGACTAGTGAGCCTTAGAGTGAGCCTTCTAGGGTAATAGGGCAGAGAACTAGCAGTTCTATTAGGTTATACCCAAATACCAGTACTCCTTTCTCTTGTCCTGATCAGTTTCACCAGAGAAGAATCCTCTCATCATTTGGTTAAAAGACGTAAGCCTGACTGCTGGTGTTTTGGGAGCTTAATAGAGGGAAGGGACTGGAGGACTCATTGTTCTGGGTATACACTTTCGGTATAATCCATTCCTCTTTTTTCAGTTTGAGCTAGAATCCAGGTTTTCTGCTTTATCTGGTCCAACTTCTCCTGAGAGTAAACCTCCACATTTCTACTGGCATTGGGAGGAAGTTGCCTGGCTTTCTACACAGAGACAAGTGTGGATGGGGCAATTGTCTGCTGCTTCTAAAGACTTTGAAGCAATCTTCCTGTTTCCAGCCTCACTTTGCCCCCTGCCTTTGGAATTCCATGTGTCTTGAATTCTTGAACCTTTCTGGGATTATACTGTAGGAATTGGCTGGCTTCTTGGTGTGCACCTAATTCTACCCTATCTCCCGCTACCTTCCACTCTCTAGGCTTTAGATACTTTCTCCATTCTACAAAGTCAGTTGCCATTTTTCCATGTGTTTTGTAATTTGTAAAATGTTAGCTTGAGCTGTCTGCTGTCCTCTCTTTGTTCATTTTTTTTCCCTTATGGATTTATACCTTTTTAATTACTGTCATTTTAGTGATTTTCCAGAAGTAGTGGAGGTAAATCTGTATCTTAATTCACTTTACTTAACTGGAAGCCCTCTGTTGTTTTTTTAAAATTCCTTTTCTTCTTTTTTCTCATCTACTTTCATTTGGGAATTCTAGTATTTTTTTAAAAAAATTACTGATTATTCACTTTTTGATTATTCAGGTGTACTCTTTATGAATACAGATATTTAAATTTATTTTGATGTAAGATTCTGAAGAGGCAGAATAGAGCAAAAGGTAGATATTAATGTCCCAAGATTTCTAAAATTTACTTTTATCTATAGTTTAATTTTCTGAGCACTTGGTTTTAATGGATTAAGAATCCTATATCCTTTCTTTTTCTTTTCTTTTCATGCACGTGTGTGTGAAGGAAACCATTATTGGCCACAAGGCACCCAACACTGCTCTGGGCAGGCTTTACACTTATATATTGCATGTTTACATGCAGAATGTTCAAGGCTCTCCTTGAACATTAGTGGAAAGATGCTTTCATTTCTCTTATTTGTGGCTAAACAGGATTTACTTTCCTATTGGACTAATAGGACTAATAGCTAGATGATACTCCTGTCTTTGTCATTTTAACTATCATCCAGAATGATTTTTAAAAAATTCTTCAGGAAATGGTTATTAGATTACATAATTTCCACTGTTTTATTTTTTTTTACAGTATTTTGTATTGTTGCTCTTAAGCTATTTTCATGTTGTAAACTCTAATTTATTGGACTGCTGTGATAATTAATATTCCATAATGGTTTTACATAACTGAGTCTCAGGATTTGTGTAAGTAATAATAATTGAAGTGAGTTTGTGGTGCTTCATGTCTAAGCACTTCAATGAATTTTTTTTTATAGTAAAGCCGTTTGCAAATGAAGAAGAATATAAGAAAACTGAAGAAATTGTCCAAAAATTTCAAAATGGTATTGGAGAAAAATTGCACCAAAAATTACTTGAAAGGGCAAAAGGAAAAAGAAATTGGGTAATTATGTTGTTGTCCTTAAGATTAGAAAATTGATGATGCTTAAAAAATGAAAATGTTACATAACTTTCATTTTTAAATTATTACTGTAAAAATTCTTACAATTATTATTGTCATTATCATTCAGAAGAATTTATGAACCTCTTAACTCCGGAGTTTTGAGTGTTATGGGTGGACAACTTTCTTATCATATGGAAAACTTGTTAAAACACAGATTTCCTGGGACCAGTCATTCTGATTCAGTATCTCTGGAATGGAACCCAGAAACCCTTATTTTAACAACTGCTCCATGTAGTTTGTAGACCAAACTTGAGAGAAACATTTTGTCCAGGTAATCGCTGCCTAAAAAGCTCGAAACACTACTAAATAGATGTGTCACATAGGTGGTGTACAAGTATTTAAACAGTGCATGTGAGAAAAAGGGCCATTACAAAAAATTGGAGTGGGGAACAGTTGTGAGTATTCTGTGTTTCAGTTAGATTAACAAGACATTGCTATAGTAATTATTAAGGATATCAATTTTCTACAAGGAATCTTTGGCTTCTTCAACTTAACTACTCTACTTCTGTAGTGTAAACCAGAAGATTTAATTAAAATCATTACTTTAGTCTAGAAATAATGATGGTAATATTTGCTTTTAGTTTTAGAAATTAAAAAGCAAGCTTATCTTTTCTTCAGCCATTGATACCTATGATGGAATAATAAAATTTTATACGAATAATAAAGTTTTATATTTCCAGATTCCTTTATTCTCAGTCTTGAGCTTTGAACGATTTTTTTTTTTTTTAAATCTCAGAGAGAGGAAGGGAGGGAGAGAGGGAGAAACATTGATTGGTTACCTCCTGCACGCATCGGGACTGAGATCAAACCCGCAGCCTGGGTGTGTGCCCTGACCCGAAATCAAACTGCCACCTTCTGGTTTACCGGATGATGCTCCAACCAACTGAGCCACACCGGCCAGGGCGAGCCTTGAATGATTTTAATTAAATTAGGGTAAAGGTAAGAAGTTGTTGTTCTGCCTGTATCCTTTTTATTTGTATCTTTTTCTGAATGACTGATTATAATAGAGAACATCAATCTTTTCTAAAATAACTTAAGGTAACTTGATAAGATCTGCTTTCTTATGCATGAAATTAAAGTGCCTATAGTGAAAGAGGGACACACAGAACACTGAAAAACCTAAATTTTTTAAACCTACTGAAAAGCTTTTATATTTCTGATTTACTATTTCAGTTTTTGCATGGAAAAGGAAAATTGTAAATCCCTTAATTGAGGATTTATTGACTAGCTAGCGTACCCCTGGTACTCTGAGAAAACACACCTCAGTACTTTGTTGGGTATTTGTGACTTTAATATCATCGGTCTGAAAGTGCTTTTTTTTTCATGTTTTTGATAACGTAGTTAAACTGAATAGTATTTAAGACCCTATGGCTCCAAAGGAAAGAAGAGAAAAAAATGCAAATAGACAGTAACTTTTTCTTTTTTTTTACACATTCACGTATTATCAGTAGCATTAGGCTGATGTTCTTTATTTTAGCTGGAAGAGTGGTGGCTGAATGTTGCCTACCTGGATGTCCGTATACCATCACAACTGAATGTCAACTTTGGGGGTCCTGCGTCCCATTTTGAACATTACTGGCCTCCAAAGGAAGGCACGCAATTGGAAAGAGGAAGTATAAGTCTTTGGCATAACTTGAACTACTGGCAGCTGTTAAGAAAGTAAGAATACTTATGGGAATTTATAAAGAAATTTACCCAGAGTCTCAGGTTGAGAAGCTTAATTTACTTATTTGGGGATGAATAATATAGTTATGACTATTTGGCTTATAAGTTTTATAGTGACTTCTTAATCAAAAATTTTTTTTTTAATAGAGAAAAAGTGCCTGTTGATAAAGTTGGGAATACTCCTCTAGATATGAGTCAATTCCGCATGCTGTTTTCTACCTGCAAGGTTCCAGGAATTTCTAGAGATTCAATTATGAGTTATTTTAAGACTGGTAAGTATAAAATGTGGGTATTTTCTTTGGTAAAGGCATTGGGATTGGCTAGTTTTGCTGTAGTTTCTATGACACTGTGGAATATACTCTTTTGAAAAATATTTATTGGCTTTTGACTAACCAAAGGCTTCTATGAACCTTTCAGTCATTCTGATTAGTTAAAAGTGATTTATGGGGATGGATTTTCTAAACTGTCTTACATAGTTCTATACAAATCTGATGCTAATGTTGCATCATTTGAAAGTTTAAATTTTAGTTAAAGAGTAGAGTTATGAATCAGAGTGTTAGGAAATCTGGGGAATATGATTTGGATCCTTCTGTTTCTACCCTCCTTCCTTCTTAACTGAAGTCTCTTTTTGAGTGTTTGCTTATATGTGTTCATCATGTCCCTCATTGTGAATATGATTTTCTTTCCTCTTATGTGAGGTGAGAGCCTGGTATAAGTCTTCTTAAAGGCACATGAGTTCAGATTGACTCATCAAAGTCTTTGTTTTTACTGTCAGTTTAATAGCAGTGTCTGCTTGGTGGTGTCCCAGCATATCTTGCAATGGAAAATTCTGTTGTAGTAACTGCTAGTTTTGTTACTTGAGGAATTTTGGGGTTTTTATTTTTTATTTTTATTATTTTAATCTTCACCAGAGAATATTTTTTTCCATTGATTTTTAGAGAGAGTGGAAGGGAGTGGGGAGGAAAAAGAGAAACATCAACATGAGACACATCGATTGGTTGCCTCCTTCACACACCATGACCAGTGGCAGGAATTGAACCTGCAACCCAGGTACATGCCCTTGACCGGGAATCAAACCTGAGACCCTCCAGTGTGTAGGCTGATGCTCTAACCACTTAGCCAGGCTGGCCGGGGCAGGAATTTTGGAATTTTTATTTTTTATAAATTTAGTGACATAGTTTATAATTACTAAAGAATGTAATTATGAATGGATATTTTTCTTATATACAATTTTATTTAAAAGTAAAATTCCTGTAGCCAACTTTGCTTGTAGTGTGAGAGGTATGAGTTTATTTCCATGTAGAATTTAACTCCTCTTTGTAAACCTCTTTAGATGCTTGAGATAATGTCCTCAAGCCTACACACATTTACCTTGATGTTGCAAGTGAAAGAATTAAGAGAAAGAATTAAGGAATCTGGTTATTTTGGCATGAAGTTTAATGCCTAAGTATGAGTGGAAAAGATGAACAGGAGAAAATTTATATGAGAGCAGCAGTAGCAAAGAGAGAGAATATGTACACCAGTTAAGAACTAATATCTGGCCCTGCTGAGCGTGGCTCAGCAGTTGAGCATTGACCTATGATCCAGGAGATCATGGTTCAATTCCTGGTCAGGGCACATGTGCGGGTTGCAGGCTCTATCCCAGTCAGGGGCATGCAGAAGGCAGATCAGTGACTCTCTCATCATTGATGTTTCTGTCTCTTTCTGTCCCTCTCCCTTCCTCTCCCTGAAATCAATTAAAATATATTAAAAAAAAAAACTAATATCAGTAGACCTGGTTTTGAATTTAATCTTTATCACCTAATAAAGATTTCTTTAGATAAGGTGACTCCTTTAAGTTACAGTATATAAAACGGGGATTCATTGATTTAATAATGAACTTCTTGATACAGTGGCTCAAGCTGTCACGGTCAGTATATTCTCTAACTTATGGCTATGTGAAGAGGTATAAATAGGGATAAAGCTGAGGTAATAAGTAAACATGAAAAATATCGGAGAGTTGATGACAAATACAATATAGAGAATTCAAATAACGAGTAACTGGGTGGCTATTTTAGACAAGGTGGTCAAGGAAGACCACTCTGAGGATCTGAATGATAAGATAATCCTGCACAGGTTTTTGGTGTTTTTTGTTTTTGTTTCGTTCAGTTTGTTTCTGTTTTGTTTGGTTTGTGTTGCAGGAGTGAGGGGAATCCCCTGGGCATCATAAACTTGGCATGTTTGAAGGGCATTGTGGATGGACCAAAGTAGGTGGGGGGCGGGGCAGACTGGAAAGGTGACTAGAAGCTAGATCATACAGTACTTTGTAAACCAACTGAGGTGTTTGGCTTTCTATTTAAAATGTGAATGGATACTATAAGTGGGTTTTGAGAAAGTGTGATGTCACCGGGTTAATATTTTAAAGATACTTCTATATGCTATGTGAAGAAAAGATTTTAGGAGAAAGACAAGTGTAGAAGCAGGGTCAGTTGGAAAGTTGCTTTAATAGTCCAAGTGAGCCATAATAATGATTTGTACTTGGGGGGAAGCATGGACTGGTAAAAAGTGATTAGATTCTGGATATATTTTGAATTTGGGCTTAGCAGAATTATTCATAGATCGGTTATGAGATATAAGAAAAAATAGGAATTATAGATGACTTCAAGATACTTGGCTTGAATAACTAATGGGGTAGGTAGGTGTGTTGATTCACAAGGTGGAGAAAATTGAGAAGCATTTTGGGGGAGGAAAATCAAAAGTTCCCTTAGACTATGTTAAGTTTAAGATGACTTTTAGACTTCTAGTGGAAATGTTAAATAGGCAATTGGATAAAAATTGAGTGTTTGGGGAGAATTCAGGACTGCAGATAAAGATTTAGGGGTCATCATTAGCAGGCATAGAAATTCTTTTTAAAGCCATAGGAGTAGATGAGATTACTTTTGGAACACATAGATGAAGGTACCAGGGAACCAGTAAAAGTACTTGGTGATCAGAGAAGGAGCCAGCAAAAAAGACCAGGGTAGGAAGAAAACAAGGATAGTGGTCTCCCAGAATCCAAGAGAAAGAAGTATTTTATGTTACGCTTTTGAGAGGTCAAATAAGATAAAAATTAAAAGTGACCATTGGAATTGTCAACATGATGTTCACAAAGTCTGCCCTTGACAAGAGCAGCCTTAGTGGAAGTTGGGGAAGGGAGCTCCCGTGGAGGAAGTGAAGGCAGACATGTGGTGACAACATCCGGAAATAATGTTTGTGAAAAAAGTTTTGATGTGCAGTGGAAGATATTTTTGTTTATTTTTTTTAAAAGATGAGTGATATTGCCCATCTGGTGTGGCTCAGTTGGTTGAGCATCGTCCCATGCACCAAGCGGTCACTGGTTCTGTACCTGGTCGGGGCACGTGCCCGGGTTGTGGGCTCGATCTCCAGTAGAGGGCGTGTGGAGGGCAGCCGATAGATGTTTCTTATCAGTGTTTCTCTCTTTCTCTCCCTCTCCCTTCCTCTCTCTCTCAAATCAATAAAAACATTTTTTAAAAAGATGAGTGATATTATATCATAGGAATGCATAGGAGAGAAGGAAAAATAGTCTTGCAGGGGAAGGGATAGGAGCCAAAGTCACTGAGAAGGTAAGAGCTGAGAGGGTCAAGAGCAGAGGTGGTGGAAGGATTGGTCTTTGGTCTTCAAGAGCAAGGGTGAGAGGTCATGAGGAAAGTGTGCATCTCGATGCAGGCAGATTGGCCAGTTTTGTTACAGGAAGATGTGGAGGTCCTGTGCATTCTTTGTGTTTTCCCTGGTGAAATAAGAACTGAGGTCACCACCTCAGGTGGAAGATTTAAGGAGAGAGGAGAAAGTTTGAAATAGCCACTTTGGAAAGTGGGAAAAGCAGACATGCTGTGGAAATGCGGAGTAGCTGAGCGGTGTCGAGTGACCATTTAAAATGTGTGTTTATGAATTTGAAGTTAGGCTACATGGTGTGTTGTGGTTTTTTCCTTCATCTACAATCAGGGGCAGGTGCAGAGGAGAGGGTGGGAAGGATTGAAGGGCTTTTGCAAGGGGGAGATTATAATGCTGGATGCTGGAATCTATCCTGGACAGGGTGAAAGTTGAAGAAATCGTGTGTGTGTGTGTGTGTGTGTGTGTGTGTGTGTGTGTGTCACGGGGCGGGGGGGTGGCAGCAGAGGGCAGCATGCGAGCTGCTGTGGCTATGAGGCTAGTCTTAGTAAGGAGGCAATAGTAAGAACTGGTTTCTTTACTTATCACCTAAGAGACCATTAAGACTAATTCAGTCTTACCTCTTATCCTGTTCACCTCATTTTGTGCAAAAAGTTCAGACTTCCTGTGTCGTGTCTTGTCATCAGGATTCATGGGTTTGTTCACAGCCTAATTGATCCAAGTTCCCCACTACTGTGACCCACCCCCCTTCCCCAGACCCTTCCCCAAACCCTTTGCTGTACTTCCTGGAACTCATGGTCACAAAACCCGTTATATCCTCAACATTTTCCCTGAAAGCTCCTGTTTCCTTCTGAAAGGCACTGGTACTGAAGCCTGGTTGTCCTTTGAGCTCACTGCTTTTCATAGAACCATCTCAAGTGGGGATTTCTCTTTTCTCCTTGGGCATGTAGGAGACCTTCCTTGTCCTCTCTATTTCCCATTGCTCTTTCCATTTTTTCTTCTTTCTTACCATTTGAGCTCTTAAAAAAAATGCACTCAGGTTATATCACCACTGCTTGTCATTATTTCAGTGACTTTCCTTTTGATCATTTGCCTTAATTTATTGATTGTTTTAGTGCCATGTCACTGCCTTTCCATTATTACTTCAGTCACATTCTTGATGACTTGAGCTTCCAGCTGTAGTGGGTCAATGCTCCTTTTCTTTATTTTCTTTCTCTAGGAATCTGTATCTTCATTCCATCTTAAGCAGCCACCCACTCCTATGGTCATGCCCTAAACCGTGTTATTATCAAAAACTCTATCACCTCTGTCATCACAGTTATAAGCACCTCAGTCTGATATCCACCTTCTCTCCAAGACTCACTTCCTTTAGTTGTCCACCTCAGCTATTTCTTTGACCACATTGTGACTTGCAATTCAGTTACCCCACAGTTCCACCCCTCCCTCCCCCACTCCGAGTCTTAACTCTGTTCTATGGTTCTTCACGGTAATCACTCCCCCGCATATACATTGAGATCTTTGCCCACCCACTTCCTCCCCACTGCCCCCCTACCATAGCAATTAAATTTCAATCTTTAGCTTTACCTCCACCTATCAGAGAGATCTACCTTAGCAATTTACTTAGCCAGAGAAAACCACAAAACCTCACTTTTCTGTCTCTCTTTTTTTTAAACTTAACTTTTCTCAGTTAAGTTTCAAGTGGACCCAGGTTACTATCTTGCCATATTCTTCTGTTAGGTTATCCTCATTTCCAGAAAAGACCATTTTATGCCATTCTCCTTCGTTATTCTCAGCTAACGAACCCTTTTCTTATTTTCAATGTAAAACCAATCTTTGCATTCCCAAATTTACCAGCCTATCTGGCAGGCAGAATTACACCACCTCCCTGCCCCACACACAGGATGTCCACTTCCTAATCCTTGGAATCTGTTGAATGTGTTAGGTTACATGGTAAAGAGGAATTAAGGTTACAGAGGAAATTAAGGTTGCTAATAAATATAATAAACTGGCTTTTCCTGGATTACCCTGGATTTTTCAGGTGGGCCCAAAGTAATCAAGAGTTCTTATAAGTGGGAGAAAGAGGTAGAAGTGAAAACCGATGAGCTAGCAGCATGAGAAAGTCTTGATTTCCCCTCGATGAGTTGGAAGGTGGAGGAAGGGGGCGGGGCATGAGCCCAGGAATGTGAGCAGTCTCCAGAAGCTAGAAAAGTGAAGGAGACATTTTCCCACAGGCCTCCAGAAGGAACACAGACCTGCCGACACCTTCATTTTAGCCCAGTAAGACACATTTCAGTCTTCTAAATTAGGGGGAATTTGTTACAGCAATCATAGAAATATACTCATTTAAGTATTTTCCCATCCTACAACGCCTTTGCAGTACGTTATTGCACAATCACCTGTTTTGCCTTCCCTTTCTTAAAAGTGGACAAACTGTTCTGACGCCTTAGCACAACCCCTCTATGTGGTGCACTGGGCGCCGCGGCCTCTTGCATATCAAGAACCTTGCTCAGGATGATCCTTTCTCTCTGTGCTGCATGATCAGTTTTCCCTTCTTACTGGATTCATCCAATCTGTGACATCTTCCTCTCAGAAGAAACAAAAACAAATTCAGCTCTTGTCTCCTTCACGTGTCACACCCCATTCAAAGCCACCCTCACCCTCCACTTAGATCGTTTTCGCCTGGACCACTACGGTTACTTCCTAGCTGATCCTGCTGTATTTTCTCTTCTCTCTTACAGTCTCTTCTCCATAGAGCAGCTGAAGTGACCTTCTTAAAGTATTAATTAGGCCACATTGTTACTCTCCTGCTTAAAACCCATCATCCTTAAAGTGGAAAGCCCTTTCTGCAGCCAGCCTGGCCCGGCCCAACCTTGTCTTCCTCTCTGCCCCTCCCTGCCTGCTGCGCTGACCCTGTCTTCCTGTGAGCAGGCCGGTTCGGTTTGTCCTGATGCCTTTGTGCTTGCTGTTTCCTTCACCTGGAACTCTCTTCCCGCAGATGTTTCCATGGTTCTCTCATTCACGTCATTCAGTTCCCTGCTCGAATGTCCCCTCTTCGGCTCATCCTGAGGTGTCACCCTCCTGTCACCCTCCTCCCAACCATTTATTATTTTTGCATTAAGCTATTTTCTTTGTTCTTTTACAGCCTTACAATTTTGACAGGTTGTGGTCAGTGGATGACAGCAACAGAAGGTCGTAGTGGTAAATGTCAGAGGGAAGGGGGGTTTGAAGGGGAAGAGAGAGGAAACGAGTTGGGAGGAGCCCTGAGGGACAAGGAAAATAACGGGCTTCACCCCCAGGACTCGAGGAAATAGGATTAAAGGAAAACCTAGGAGTCCTTTCAGGAGATGGCCCTGCCTCTTAGTTTACGAATAGAGTTCATGAGATTACCTGTGTAAAGCATTTGGCACAGTTCTTTGTACATAATTTGAACTAGTAAGTGTCCTTCCAGTGGCAGTATATGTCTTTTCTAACTTTTCTTTCACTTTCCCCCCCTTTTCTTAGAGGGAAGGAGCAGGAGTCATACAGGAAGACCCTTGTTAAAGGGACTAGTACTTGAAAAACTAGGGCTAATTCAGAATGGTCTGAGGTTTATGGTAAACAGATAGCTCTTGGGGAGCTCAGGTCTGCCACAGGCAACACAGAATCAGGTATCGGTGACTTACCAGGTAATATCAGAGCCTTAAATAAAACTACAGATTGGGCAAAAGTCTTTCTCCTTGACGCTCAGGCATACAATGCCCTTCTTCTACTGAAAACTATTTTATTCAGAAATCACAGCTAGAATATCCAGCAAATAGTCAATATTAAAATAATCCTAAAGAAAAGCTTGTTAATTCAAGTAGCTCTCTTCCAGGATCTCTCTGCCACCCTTCTCTTCCCACTCCTACCCATAAATAAAACGAGAAAGCCCTGCAGTAGCTTGGAATTTATACAAGTCTCAAGGTGTACAAATATTTAAAACTCCCGTGGATTTCTAGATGTTTCACATGGACAGGCTTCGAGAAAATGTTATCATAATAACTGGAGTTCTATCACCTTAAAGTTGTTTTGTTCTTATGATGTATTGGATACCTGATAAATATTGGAGTAATTTTTTCTCTCTATTGGATGTAAATATGCAACTTTACTCTTGTTTAACTTTGAGAGATTTGGTCTTTTGTTTTCTGTGTGCTTTTTTTTTCCAGAGAGAGAAGGGTATTCCCCAACTCACATTGCAGTGCTGTGTCGAGGCCGAATTTTTGTCTTTGATGTAATGCACGAAGGATGTTTGATCACCCCACCAGAGATTCTCAGGTTTTCGAACTACTTTCTTGAATCTCATTAGGTCTTAAGCTTTTGTATGAGTTAAAAACAAATGTTCAGAATTGCCTAGTTATAAGATGACAGAAAAATAAGAATTTTATATATGCTGAATTTTAAAATATCTGTTTTTATTTTATTTTATTTTTAATTTAAATTAATTTTTAATTTTACTAGCCTTGTATGAATATATTCTACTTGGAGAAAAGGAAAACATTATAAATACTACTAATTTCATCCCCTCCCCGGAATTCATTACTGTTAACTAGCTGTGTGTGTTCTAACCTTCCATATCTATTTATATGTACATATAGATTTTAAAGTATATATATATTTCATGTATAGTATGTATTACATACATACAAAGATATTGTACCTATAGTAGTATATAGTATGTATTATAGTATTATTTTGTATGTTTGTATTTTTAAAGTGTGTTATGGAAAATTTCAAAATGTAGAGGGAATTATATAATGAAGCTCTTCCATGCACTCTTCCCCTAGCTTCAACAGTTATCAGCTTCTCGCTTCAACAGTGATAAATCCGTAGTCTCGTCTCAACTCTACCTCCTTATGACCCTCTTCTCATTCCCCCGTGGATTAGTTTAAAGAAAATCTCAAACATAATATCCTTTCACTATAAATATTTTAGTATGTCTCTCTAAAATATAGGGGCCCTTAAAAATATACACATATATAGTAGTAAGTACTATTTTCATGTTGAATGACTTGCTGCTTCTAAAAAATTAACTGTCTTTAAATGTCATTATTGTGTAATCAGTTGTTCATATTTCAGACTTATAAATGTTGAGTTGTATGTATCTGTATATTTTAAAAATTATTTTTATTAAGTATTTATAACATGTACAAAAGCACACATGGAAGTATACAGCTAAATACTCATGTAACCACCCCCCTGTTCAAGACAGAACATTTTCAGTACTCCAGAAACCCCCTGGTGACACTTCCCAGTTACTGTGCTTTCCCTCCTTCCCAAGGGTAATCATTTAGATTTCTTACAGTTTTTCTTAGTACAAAAAAATGCAGCTGTGAAAATTATTTTGTAAGTCTTTTGGTGCACATATGCCTGCATTTCCGTCTGACCATACCCAGGAGAGGACTTGCTGAATGTTAGGGTATGTGCAAATTTCCTTCAGTAAATAATGCCAGTTTTCCAAAATAATTATACTAATAAGCACTTCCTCTAGTGTATGAGTATTGTAGGAGTTCTTTATTCATTTTTGTTGGTTTTATGTGTTGATATCCACAGAGTAGATGTTTATCACTGCCCTTTTGTTCTATTAAAGGTGCCTGTTTAACCAACAAGAGTTCTTAATTTGAATGTAGTCCAATTAATTAATCTTTTACATATGCATCATACTTCTCATGTCCTGGTTTTTAAAAATTTTCCCTTACCCAATGTCAAGGTATTTTCTTATATTCTGTTCTAGAGTTTTATTGTTTTGACTTTCACATTTACATTAGCATTCCCCCAGACTGATTTTTGTATGTTGCATGAGGAACGGGTAATTTTACACATTTAAAAGAATAGTTTTATTTTTGGCATTTTCTGTAGTTTGCTTCTTTTAGTCCATAATAAGACAGTGATATTTTTATATTCTTTGTAACTGTTGCATAGAATTCTTTTTAACTGTTGCATAGGATTCCATCAAATGGACATACTATAGTTTCTTTTTAACCATAAACATATCCATTACTTCCAACAGTTTCCCGCCCTTTTTATTACTACTACTTTTTGTGGTAAGAACACTAACATAAAAGCTACTCTCTTAGCAAATTTTAGGTATCCAATACATTATTGTTAACTCTAGGCACGAGGCTGCACAGTAGATCTCTAGGACTTACTCGTCTTGTGTAACTAAAACTTTGTATCCTTTGTATCCTTACCCCAGCCCCTGGCAACCACCATTCTACTCTAGAGCTCCTAGGAGTCTGAATATTTCAGACACCTCATATAAGTGGAACCATGTAGCATTTGTCCTTCTGTGTCTGGCTTATTTCACTTAGCGTTATGTCCTCCAACTTCTTCCATTTTCCTGCAAATGGCAGGAGTTTTTCCTTTTTAAAGCCAGAATAATATTTCATTGTATGTATATGCATTTGGTTATCCATTCATCTGTCAATGGATATTTAAGTTGTTTCCACCTCTTGGCTATTGTGAAAAATGCCGCAATGAACAACGGAGTACAGATGTCTCTTTGAGATCCTCATTTCAATTCCTTTGGATAAGTACCCAGAGCTTGAATTGCTGGAACGTAGAGTAGTTCTACGATTAACTTCTTGAAGAACCTCCATATTGTTTTCCGCAGTGGCTGCCCCGTTGACATTCCCACCAACAGTGCACAAGGGTTCCCTTTTTTCCACTTCCTCACCAACACTTATCTCTTGTCTTTTTGATTATGTAATATCACATCCGAACAGATGTGAGGCATGTACTATAGTTTTGATTTACATTTCCGTGATGATTAGTGATACTGAGCACCTTTTCACTTACCTGTTGGCCATCTGTATATCTTTTTTGGAGAAATGTCTATTCAGTTGCCCATTTAAAAAATCCGATTGTTTCTTTGCTATTAAACTGTAGGGGTTCCTTATATGATTTGGATATTAACCTCTTATCAGATATATGGTTGGCAAATATTTTCTCATAGTCTGTAGGTTGCCGTTTCATTTTGTTGTTTCCTTTACCATGCAGAAGCTGTTATTTTGATATCATCCCACTTCTTTATTTTTACTTTTTTTGTTTGTGCTTTTGTTGTCATATCCAAGAAATACGTGCCAAGTTGATGTCAGAAGCCTTTTCCCCCTTGTGTTTTTCTAGGAGTTTTATTGTTGGAGGTCTTACTGTAAACCTTCAATCCATTTTGAATTGATTTTTGTGTGTGGTATAAGATAGGGGTCCAGGTTCATTCTTTTGTATATGCAATCCAGTTTTCCCAACACCATTTATTTAAGAGACTATCCTTTCTCATTGTGTATTCTTGGCATACTTGGCAACCTCAGTTGACCATAGATAAGTGGATTTATTTGGAAGCTCTGTATGCTGTTCCACTGGTGTATATATGTCTGTTTTTATGCCAATACCATACTGTTTTGATTACTGTAGCTTTGTAATACATTTATTTTGAAATCAGGAAGTGTGATACCTCCAGCTTTGTTCTTGTTCAAAATTGCTTTGGCTATTCATAGTTTTTTTTGTGGTTTCTTGTGAGTTCTGGGATTTCTGTGAAAAATGTCGTTGGGATTTTGATAGGGATTGCATTGAATCAGTAGATTACTTTGGGCAGTATGTACTTCTTAATGGAGAAGATTTAGTTGCTATCTGACCTTTTATTATCAAACTTTTAACACATTTTCCCTTGTAATTTCTCTGTGATAATGACCACCTTATATGAGGTGGTCATTTCCCACTGAATGTGAAAATAGCCATATCAGGGAGCAGGAAAAAGTTTCATAGTCAAAACTGGTGATTTGAGCTGATGAGGGAAGAGCAGCAACCAGTACCATATGAAGAAAAAGATCGAGGTAGATTTTATTACTTTAGCATTCAGAATTCATGCTAGTTACTGTGCTTACCACATAACCACCAACTGTAGAGGCTTTGTTTGTAATTAAAGAAAAATCAGAGTTAGCAACGACAGGTAAGCAGGAAGAGGCAAGGCAAGTTGCTTCCACTGTAGATGCAGATTGTTTGGTGAAGAAGCCTCATGTGCTCCCCAGGACTCCCTTGGTGTTCAAATAAAGAGGGAGGGATTTATTTCTTCATCAGTATTACAGAAATAATTAAGGAACAGAGGAAAACATGCAAATTAAACATTTTATTTTTTTCCAGTTTTGAGTGAAAAAAACACAAATAAGGGATGGCTACTAGTGGTGACTTTTGATCACTTATTAAATTACATTAGCTCACTGTCTGAGAAACACCTGGAAGCTTTTAATTGAGGCAGTTTCTTAGCATGTGCCATGAGGAAGTAAGGCTGAAACTAAACCTCTCTGGATTTTTGACTGATGAAAATTTATTTACTTATGGAAGAACCCTGTTATTTACCTGCCATATGTTTAAAATACATGAAATTCACCAAACTGGGAGTATAGAAAACTATGGGGGGAAAGAATTTATTCTTAGCTGATAGAGTCTTTAAAATATGATGATTATAAGTAACAATAACACGTGACTACATGGTACTTAATGTTTTAGGTTAAACGCACATATTAGTTGGCTATAGAGTAAGTCCTCTATTAAGTATATATGTACATAGTTTTCAGTTAGATAAGGTGTGTGTGATATTTGTGAGATTACTTACCAGAATATTACTCAAGTTCTCCATTGTGTAAGAGGTATTTACGTGAACTCCAAAAGTACATGTACATTTTGAAAGTATAAATTATATCAGCCAAACACCAAATTCATTAAGCTACTATCAAATACACTTTTGGTGTTAATTGGTCATATAATCATCTTTTTAAAAAACGATGTGGTATTGGAAATAAATCCATTGCTATTGAGATCATAATCACTTTCTTTGGATAACGTATCGAAACATTTAAACACTGGTAAACATTATGGCCTGTTAAAGGCCAGAATAGGTAGCGATGGTGCCTGTGCTCCTTTTGAATCCTCTCTCTTTAATCTTCTGTAAGGCAATTGACGTACATCCACAAAAAGTGCCATAGCGAACCTGATGGGCCTGGGATAGCAGCATTAACTAGCGAGGAGAGAACTCGATGGGCTAAGGTTAGAATTTACACTTTTTTTTTATTGAGTTGTAATTGACATATAACATTGTTTTCAGGTGTATAACATCATAATGATTCGATATTTGTATATATTGCAAAACAATCACCACAATGTCTAGTTAACCTGTCACAATAGTTACAAATTTCTTTTCTTGTGATGAGAAATTTTAAGATCTACTTCTAGCAAATTTCAAATATCCAATACATTATTATTAATTATATACTTTTCTTAATGAACCTTTTCCCTCCTGGATATATTTAATTTGTAACATTTAATCATTATATCCTTGTCCTTTAGGCACGAGACTATTTGATTAGTCTTGATCCAGAGAACTTGACTATGTTGGAAAAAATTCAGAACAGTTTACTGGTGTATTCCATAGAGGATAGCAGTCCACATGTAACACCAGAAGATTATTCGCAGGTACTCAACTATCTTGTTCTGTTATTTCTTCCCACAAATTTTTCTGGAGAGCTCTTATATATATTGAGCATGAGAAGATTTTTTTGTTATATGAAGGCTCTTAAAATGTTTTCTTAGCTATGATATATACATGTACCAAATTGAAGTTTATAGTAGATAAATAATGCTTCATTAATTCTTTCCACGTTGTTCAGGTCCACTTAGATAAATCCTGCATGTTGTTTAAAGAAGTATGACTATCATTTGCATATCACATATCAGTGTTTCTCAGACTTTTTCATTGAATGCATAAACAGAAAATTTGCACAGGTCACTGTGCTAAATGAGCTTCTCGTGCCAAAGGTGACACGAGTACCTATAACCCACACCAGTGTGCCTTGACACCTTAGTTGGTGAGGTCTGTCCTAAGAATTATATCAAACTGTAAGTAATTTATTTTATCATTTGGTTTTTATTGAACAAACTGACTATAGTGAGTTTAAGGGTAAATGTGGCCTTACTTTTCCCTCCCCAGGATATTATCATTTCCTGGGAAGTAATAAAAGGTAGTCATATTTTTAGAAGTCTCATAGTCTTTTAAAAACACTCAAATTATGTAATAATGCATTCATCTATATTAAATGATAGCAATAAAATAATATAGAATTGAGAAACCTTGTAGCTAGAAACCAACTTTTCCTCTTTTTTAGTTTTATTTTCTTTTTAGCAGAAGAATCACCAGACTTCTTGAGGAAAAATATATTTTAATGCAGTATTGTTCGAACTTTTTTACTGCAATACAGTTAGACATACATTTAGACTGTAGCCCACTACACACACACACACACACACATACACCATGTGCTTGTGCACACACATGTATGTAATAGAAGTTTCACAAAAAAGTAATTACTTTTACTATCTGTGATGTACTCTGATGTTTATGCTTCATTTGATTCTTTCTTTTTGTAAAGAATGTTTTCTGTGATGCACTAAGTTGATTTCATGACTCACTAATGGGCCAAAACCTACCGTTTAAGAGACAGGTGTGGTGGGATCTGAATTCTTGAAATATTTTTTTCATAACTAATTTTTAATGGCTGAACTTATTAAGGCCTCTTAACACTATTCAAGTTGCAAAAGCCTTGTCCTTTCAATTGTATTGTATGCTCTGTAAACATTTACGCATGTTGTACCAGCATTCTCTTTTATGGAGGATTTCTCGAGATTTTTAAGAAATATCTAAAGTCAGGACCCGAATTACTGTCTCTTGAGTATAATTTATCATTTATTAAATTTGGTTTACCTGAAGGGGAAAAGTGAGAATATATATATCATATAAATACTTAAAAATAAGTGTTAAAATCATTTTAATTTGGAAATATTAAATTTATTTTAGGCAATAGCAATGGTCCTCACTGGAGACCCAACAGTACGCTGGGGTGACAAATCCTATAACTTGATTTCCTTTTCTAATGGAGTATTTGGCTGTAATTGTGATGTAAGTAGAATACTGAAGTTATTTGTTTCTTTTAATCTTTTAGGTTGATTTAAAGGCATAAGCTACAATACTTATGCTGTGCAGTGGTAGTATGAGTAAATACTTAGTTTTATGGCATCATCATAAAAGGTTTGGTTATGAGTTCTCGGTGAAAGTAGAATGTAGGACAAGTTATTTTCATCTGTGATAAAGCTAATAGTTTGGTGTGTCTGCAAAGGGGAATTTGCATATATTTTCATGTAATATAAGCTCTTTAAAATTCTCTGTTGAAAATTACAACCTATTTAAAAATGTATACATTATGTATATGTTTTATGCACAGAGAAATATATATGGATATATTTCTAGATTTACCTAGTAATTTTGTAACTATTTTCCTAAAATGACCCATGCTCTTTGGAACATTATTTATTTACACTGTGGATATTAAAGTGTCTGGTATTTAATACCATTTTTACCTTCTTTATAAAAAACAACAACAAAAATCTTTTCTTGTTTCTTTTCTGTTCTGCCATGGTCTCTCTCATTAGCTCCACCTTGCCATTTTCTGGTGGACATTCAGGAGGTCTATGGATGAAGAAAATTTAAAAATCAACCTAAGTCAAATTTGCAATACACGCTTGTAATCTCATTATAACACTTTTGATAAAGTATGTAATTTGGTAGAAAGAAGTATGAGGTAGATTTTTTTGTTAGTGTTTGGTGGCCTTCCCCTAAAAGCATTTAGTGACTGTAAAATACTAAAAAGACTGTTATGTTGATCTGGGTCCAGTGGTTGTATTAATCAGTATTTATTCAGTTTTAGGTGATACAAACCTAAATCAAACTGGCATTAGCTTAAGAAGATATTTGTTGGCATAGGGGTGCAGCTAAATTTGGGTAAGGGTGACTTCCAGTGTTCAAACGCTTCCATTAAAAATTACCCTCTCCATTTTTTGGTGCTACTTTTCTGTTTGGTTCTGTTTTCCACAACCTCGTGTCTTCACAACTCTCTTCACAGATTAGTGTTCCCCATGGAAATAGCGAGCTTTTTCCCCCCAGTGGTCCCATCATAAGTCCTGGGAATAACGCTCATCGGTTGTGATTGGTGTGTGTGAATCATGTGCCCATTCCAGGGAAGCGGGCACCCTTATTTGCTTGGTCTGGGTCACATGACAAACCTTGGAACCGAGGGGTAGAATCACTCTTATTCAAACCACCACAAAGATGTGGTGGTTGCCTAAAGAAAAATAAAGTTGTTATTGTCACATGAAGAGGTGCAGTGGGGGACAAGCAGGTGATGAAACCAGCCGCCTGGTATAGTAGCTCATTGGGTGAAAGGTTACCGTGAGTCATTTTGAAGTTTTGTTGTCTTTGCTCTTCCTTGGAGTCCAGTGTTGACAAAATATTTCTCGTTAATTTCCTCCGTTTTCTTCCCTTCAAGCTCCTCCTCTGATTCTTCTTCACCTCCGCAGTCTGGTTTATAGCCTCACTGGTCCCTGGGGACTGTCCTTTGTAAAGTAGCTGTCGCCTGGCCTGTGCCTTCCGTTTCTCCCTTACCTGCCTGCTGCAGTTGGTCACCTCTTCACAGGCTCAGACCCTGCCTCCCTCCTCTTCCCAGTCGTTCCCTCTCTGTTCGAAAACTGACCTTAATATTTGTCATGCTTTTCCCCTGTGCTGCTCTCTTCCCTGGTTTAATACTTCCATTGGCCATTTTTATATAGGTGGCTTGCAGTTATGCTTTTCTGGTTTTTACCTATTCTCATTTTCAGAGTTTTGTTTCACTGTATGTTAAATTGTTCAGACTGGATGTTATATCGTTACATGGGGCTGAGTTTCTCTCATCATCAAGAAGAAATCATCATCTTGGTTTTCTTCCCCTTCCCCTCCCCCCAAAAAACACCCTTGCACTACTTTGATTTTTACTAATAGCACCAACATCCTGCTGTTTGCTCAAATTCACGGTGAAAATAATTTTAATGATCTTTTCTATCTCTGAATAAAGACTATTGGTCCCATTATGAATGTGCATCTCAACACTATTGCAGTCCTTTCCTGTAGTAAGTGTAGACGTGTTTATGTGTGTGTATTAACACACATATATTCATAAAATCAGTCTGATTATCTCTATGATAATCTGCTTTTAAAATTCCATGTAGGTTTCCCTTATAACCTAAGATGTTACAGAAAATGCAATCTAACCTATGTAAAACATCATTAATAAGTATATATACTGTAAAATAAAGCTGTCTTAATTCAAAGCCATGCTGCTGTTTTCTTCCATTAGTGCTTGAGTACATACTTTTGTGATTATGCTAATTAATCACATTTCCCTCTTAGGATTTAAAATCCTGGGTCAACGAGTTTTGTTTTCTCAGCATAGGCTTTTTTACAGGGCTTTGTGAAGGGTACAGAAGAAGCATGTAATAAGCATTAGTTGTTCCTAATCATAGTAGTTACTAATTATTGCTGTGAGCTAGGTTCCGTAGTGAGCACTATATAAGCCTTATTAAAATCGTTTTTCACAGCAGCTGAATGAGAATGGGGATTATTATCCCCACTAACAGATGAGGCGATTTACTTAAAGAATTAAATAAGTTTCTCACAATTGCACAGCCAGCAGATAGTGAGGTTTGGAATCAGAACCAGTCCACATTTTAAACAGTATGTTACACATACTGCCTTCATATAAATGAAATAAAAATGGTCAAACTTATGTGAACAAATAAAGCATCAGGAAAGCATTAGAATTTTTCATATTTTTCTAATTTTTTAAATTGATTATTAGCTTTTTACCAGGAGATGGGTGGGTAGAGTTATAAGTTGAGCAGAATTATATCCATCACTCTTGCTCTTTCTAACAGGTTGCAGTAAGAGTTAGAGATTAATACTGTTGTTGTAAATGAAACAATGAATAAGATATCTGTGAAAATTTTTTGTAAAGCCATAAAACACTACACAGTTGTTACAGTTGGAAAAGGGGTTTGTCAGTTACCCATGAGTCTGGTTACATGTGCTGCTGCTGACAGGTGGCAGCAGCTGCTTGGGCATCCTGTGCTGACCTCCCTCCTGAGCCTTTCCTGACACTGTGGCTGCTCCTTTGACAACAGCACACTGTGCTCCTAGGCTCCACTGCGCCATGATACAGGGCACGCAGAGCTGTGTGGCGTTAAGGTGATATTTTAGACACCTACTTACTCCTGAGCCAGGCCCAAGTGGCTGGGTTTATATGCTAAGCATCCCTTCTTTCTCCCCAAGGCTAGCAAGTCACATTCAGTTCACGAATGATAACTTTGTTTAATGTAAAGTAGTAGCAACAACACAGAGAAAAAAGCCATCTAATGTAATTATCATCAAAGGGACATGGGGGAAAATAAGGCAAAAAATTTGTCTTTCAGAATAAACGATGGAAAAATTCACTAGCCTCGATTCCTTTCTCTGAATATAGCTTTCAGACCTATAACACTCTGTTACTCAGCCCATCTTTCCCACACTCCTAAAAACTGAGAATTATTTCTGCCACTTCTGAGCACTTTTGTAGATAAGTGCACAAAGTTGTTATGCTTTTTAATGCTCATCTCGTGGGCCTCTGTCTTTACCTAAAGTTCATACCCATTCTCTATTTAGCCTTCAGAGAGCCTGCCGTCCCCATCTGCTTTTGCACAGTGCTCTTGCAGTTCCAGAGCATCTTAGCACTGCATCCATATGCCTGCTCTGACTTCCAGTACAAATAGCAATTATTTTCTCTAGATGGTTCATGTTTACTTCAGACCCTCCCCATTACCTCAAGAGCCCTGATTAGGTGCTTCCAACTTTAAATATTCTTTCTCAGAAAATAAAATATAGCAATTACTGTGCTGCACAATATCCACCATCTCGGACATTAGGAGGTAAGGGCATTTGAGAATTCTGCACTTTATCATGTGTTAAGAATGGAGGAAAAGTGAAGATAAAATATTGGGTCAGGTTTCAACTTGATATAAGGTATTCAAAATATTGTGTATTTTCGTTTTAGCATGCTCCTTTTGATGCCATGGTTATGGTAAGCATCAGCTATTACGTTGATGAGAAGATTCTGGAGAATGAAGGGAGATGGAAGGTATGCTGCCAGAACAAATACCTCATCCTTTGTTCTCCTCATTTTTTATAAATATAATATTCTTCATCCTTATGTATTTTCAGGGTTCAGAAAAAGTACGGGATATACCACTTCCAGAGGAGCTTGTTTTCACTGTGGATGAGAAAGTATTAAGTGACATCGACCAAGCTAAAGCCCAGCATCTCAAGCAGGCAGGTTTTTCACTTTTCTCCTAGATGGTTGTTATGCTTTCAATCTCTCTCTCTCTAGCCTCACCCAAGGATATATTTTTTATTAATTTTTTTAGAGAGAGGAAGGGAAGGGGGGGGAGGGAGAATATCATCGATCAGTTGCCTCCCGCGTGTGCCCCAACCAGGCACTGCACCGCAGCCTAGGAGTGCCCTGCCCAGGAGTCAAACCCGCAGCCTTTTGTGCACGAGACGACGCTCCAGCCAACTGAGCCGCCTGGCCAGGGCATGCTGTCTCTTTTAACTACTATATGTAAAGACTTGGGCAGCATCTGAGTGTGACAGCATGAAACACTGAAATTATAGCTGTAATACCTTTAATTATTACTCTGATGCAAATGATAATCTGGTGATCTTTGGGATATTCTCCTTAGGTGATTTTTCACTGTTCCCATTTAATTCTTTTTGTTAGGCATCTGATCTTCAGATTGTGGCATATTCCTTTACACCTTTTGGCAAAAAGCTAACCAAGAAGAAGATGCTTCACCCTGATACATTTATTCAGCTTGCACTTCAGCTGGCCTATTACAGACTTCACGGACGGTGAGGATCGTTCATTTTCCATCGTTGACTCTTGAACTCCAAGGGTATATCTTTATCATAGCTACTTCATTCTAACTCCCAGTGTTTTTTCCTACTTTTTTCCCCAATTGGCACCATGTCCAAATTTGTACTTTCATCAGCAGTAATTGCAAAGAATGACAAACTTTGATCTGTGACAATTTCGTAGTCTTTCCTTGGTTTCCATTTCTTTAATACTTCTAAGAGGTGTTTTGCCATTCTTTGGAATCCAGATCATTTGGTTTTCTTGCAGCCTCAGTTTTCTGATGGGTTCATGAAAAGCTATGATTTGTAGATTATCTTAGTCTTTACTCATTTTTAGGAAAGGAGAGGAGGTATGTTGTGACTGTCTACATCCTAAGCAGAAGTGGAAGCTCCTTGATCTTGCTTGTTTTAATCCAGTCTGAAAATATCTGTCTTTAAACGGGATATTTAATCATTTACATCTAATTATCGGTGTGGTTGGGTTTATGTTTATCACCTTGCTGTATATTTTCTCTTTATTCATCTGTTTTTGTTCCTTCTTTTTTATCTTCTTTTGAATTCATAGCATTTTTTAAATTTTTTCCATTTTATCTCCATAGTCAGCTGTACTTTTTTTTTAGTAATTTACAAAATACATCTTATTTATCTCAGTCTACCTTCATATAATATTTTTTACTTCAAGTATAACATAAGAACCTTAAAATGCTTCAATTTCACTTTTCCATTTTTTAAATTGATTGATTTGAGAGAGAGGAAGGGGGAGAGAGAAACATTAATTTGTTGTTCCATTTATTTATGAATTCATTGGTTGATTCCTTTTTTTAAAATTGATTTTAGAGAGAAGGGAAGGGAGAGGGATTAAAAGATAGAAACAGTGATGAGAGAGAAACATTGATCAGCTACCTCCTGCCAGCCCCCTACTGGGGATGGAGCCCGAAACCTGGGCATGTGCCCTGACCTGGAATCGAACTGGTGACCTCTTGGTGCATGGGACGGCACTCGGCCACGCCAGCTGAGCCGGTGGTTGCTTCTTGGATGTGCCCTCACCAGAGATCAAACCCACAACCTTGGTGTATGGGACGAAGCTCTAACTGACTGAGCCACCCAGGCAGCCAGGGCCACTTCCCCGCTCTTTGTGCTGTTGTTACACATTACACTTCTACATTTGTTATAAACCTCACAATGTACTGTTACCATTTTTGCCTTAAGCAGTTATCTTTTTTTTATTATGGTAAAATATGTATAAAATAAAACTTGCCATTTTAACCATTTTTAAGTGTATAATCCAGTGGCATTAACTACATTCACAATGTTGTGCCACCATCACCACTGTGTATTTCTAAAATTTTTCATCGCCCCAAACAGAATCTGTACCCATTAAGTAATAACTTCCCATTCTACCATCTGTCCCAGGCCCTGCTCATCTCTAATCTACCTTTTGTCGCTATGAATTTGCCTGTTCTAGATATTTCCGATAAGTGGAATTATATATTTGTCCTGTTGTGTCTGGCTTATTTCAGTTGGGTAAGTTTTGAAATCTGGAAGTGTGAGTCCTTCACCTTTGTTCTTCTTTTCAAGATTGTTTTTATTATTCTGGGTCCCTTGAAATTTCATAAGAATTTTAGGATGGGTTTTTTCATTTTTGCAAAACTGTCATTAGGATTTTGATAGAGATTACATTGAATATGGAATTGCTTTGGGTAATACTGTTAACAGTGTTAATCTTCCAGTTCATGAACACATGGTCTCTTTCCATTTATTTAACTCTTTAAATTTCTTTTAGTAATGGTTTTCAGTGTACAAGTCTTTTCACCTCCTTGGTTAAGTTTAATCATGAATATTTTATTCTTTTTGATGCTATTGTAAACGGAATTGTTTTTTTGAATTTTCTTTTCAGATTGCTCATTGCTAATATATAGAAATGAAACTGATTTCTGGGTGTTTATTTTGTATCTTGAGACTTTGCCAAATTGGTTTATCAGTTTTAACAGCTTTTTTGTGGACTCTTTAGCATTTTCTAAATACAAGATCAGGTATCTGTGATTAGAGATAGTTTTCTTTTTTCTTTCCAATTTTTGGATGCCTTTTACTTCTTTTCCCGCTAGAATAACCAGTACCATGTTGAGTGGCAGTGGCAAAAGCAGGCATCCTTTCTTATTCATCTAAGGTGGAAAGTTTCAGTCTTTCACCACTGACTGGTGTTAGCTGTGGGTTTTTTCTAAATGCCCTTTGTCATGTTGAGGAAGTTCCCTTCTCTTTGTAGTTTATTGAGTGTTTTTATTATGGGAACAGTGTTGGATTTTGTCACATGCTTTTTCGGTATCAGTTGAGATTATCACATAGATCTTTTCCTTCATTCTGTTAATGTGGTATATTACATTGATTGAATTTCACTTGTTGAACCACGGTTGCATTTCTGGGTTAAATCCCACATGGTGATGCTGTATCATCCTTTTAATGTGCTGCTGAATTCAGTTTGCCAATAATTTGTAGAGGATTTTTCAATCTATATTCATAAGGAATATTGGTTTATAGTGCCTTATCTTGTAGTGTCTGACTGGTTTTGATATCAGAGTAATGCTTGCCTCAATATGAGTTAGGAAATGTTCCCTCCTCTTCTGTTTTTTTTGTTGTTGGAAGAGTTTGAGAAGAATTGATGTTACTTGTTCAAGTGTTAAAATTCACCAAGGAAGCCATCTGGTCTAGCACTTTTCTTTATTGGGAGGTTTTTGATTACCTAGTCATCTTCTTACTTGTTGTAGGTTCAGTCAGATTTCTATTTTTTCTTGAGTCCTATTTGATAGTTTGCAAGGTTCTCAGAATATGTCCATTTCTTTCAGGTTGTCCATCTTTTTAGTATACAGCTGTTCATTGTGTTAATTTACAATCTTTTGTATTCCTGTAAAGTCAGTAGTAATGCTCTCTTTCTTAGCTAATTTTAGTAATTGGAGTCTGCTCTCTTTTTTTCTTAGTCATGTAGCTAAAGGTTTGTCAATTTTGTTGATCTTTTCAAAGAACCAACTTTAGGTTTAGTTAACTTTCTCTATTTTTTTATTTCTGTATTTTATCTTTACTCTGTCAGTTTCTTCTCTTTGCTAACTTTGGATCTAGTTTTCTCTTTTTTTCTAATCTCTTAAGGTGTGCAGTTAGTTTATAGATCTGAGATTTTTTTTTTAACATAGGTGTTTACAACTATAAATTTTCCTCTGAATACTACTTTTGCTTGATCCAGTAAGTTTTGGCATGTTGTGTGTTGTGTTTTCCTTTTCATTTATCTCAGGGTATTTTCTGATTTACCTTGTGATTTCTCCCTGACCAATCAGTTACTTAGGAGTGTGTGATTTAATTTCTACATATTTGTGAATTTTCCAGTTTTCCTTCTTTTATTGATTTCTGGCTTCATTTCATTGTCACTGAAGATGTTACTTGGTATGATTTGAATCTTTTAAAATTTATTGAGACTTATGTGGCCTAATTTATAGTCTGTCCTGGAGAATGTTCCATGTGCACTTGAGAAGAATTTTTATTTTGCTGTTATTGAGTGCCATGTTCTATATATGTCTGTTAGGTCTAGAGGTTTATAGTGTTGTTCAAGCCCTCTGTTTCCTTATTGATCTTCTGTCTGCATGTTCTATCCATTGTTGAAAGTTGGGTATTAAAGTCTCCAACTGTGGCTGTAGAGCAACTGTCAATGTTTGCTTCATATAATTTAGGGTAATGTTGTTTGGTGCATATCTTTTTATAATGCTGTATCTTCTTGATGAATTAAACCCTTTATATACTGTTTTATTAGCCTTTTTTTAACCTTTTGACTTAAAATCTATTTTTCTGACAATAAGATAGTAACTCCAACTCTTTTTGTTACTATTTTCATGGAATATCTCTTTTCATTCCTTTACTTTTAACCTCTTAACATCTTTATATCTAAAGTGAATCCCTTGTAGACAGCATATAGTTAGACCATGTTTTTTTAATCCATTCGGCCAATCTGTCTTTGAAGAGTTCAATCTATATACATTTAAAATAATTATTGATAAGGGTCTTGCTTCTGCCACAAAGCTGTGTTTTCTGCAAGTGTTACATGTTTTTTGTTCCTCAATTCCTCCATTATTGCCCTTTTTGTGTATTTAATTGATTTTTTGCAGTCTACCATTTTGATTGCCTTTTTCTTTCTTTTTCTCTGTATTCTTTAGCTATTTTCTTTGTGGTTATCTTGGAGATTACAGTTACCATAACAAATTTATAACAACCAGCTGAGTTTCAGCAGTATACAAATACTCTGCTTCTGTATATCTCTGTACCGTCCTCTTTTATTGTCACAGATTATATCTTTGTACACTGTGTGCCCATTAATATAAATTTATATTATTGCTTTATGCATTTGCCTTTTAAGTAAAAAACACAGTTAAACATGTTGCTCGGTCTCCTGTGTTTTCTATAACCTGGTAGTTAGATCTAGAGACTTGAGAATAATAATCAGTATTTTTGTTTTTGTTTTTACAACAATAAATCAAATAGTCAGTGTTACTAATTTTCTCTTTTATCATTTCAAATTGAGAGTGGGTTCAGTTGTCGCCAATATCCATTATAAAGCTTCCTCTCTGAGTTTTTTACTTGGTTTTTAGTAGCCATTGATGATCATTACCAAGATCTGTTATTTCATTAGAGGTTGCAGAGTAGTGATATTTTGTCAGTCATTCTTATTACTGCTTTTTATTTTTCATCTGTTTTTAAAATAATGTTATTTTAGTGGTGTTTTAAATTTTTATTTATACTCTCCGGCACATTTTGAAAGGATACGATTTCACCCCAGAGAGACAGCCTTACAGAAACACAGAAGAGGTTCAGTTACTCTGTTTGAGCCCTTGCAGTTGCCCGTGTTCCAACCTTCTACCCTCACTCCACTTGTCTCTTTAACTCTAAATTCCGACCACCAGGAAAGTAAGAGAGCTTTGTATCTAAAATTGTTATGTCATCCTCCAACCCAGGAAAACAGGCATCACTCTGGGGAACTCCTTAAATCATGTTTTTACTTAATTCTACAGTCATTCATGTTCTATATGAAGGAGCTAAAGGCCAAGGACTCTATATTATCTACTGCTGTGTAACAAGTTACCCCAAAACTTAGTGGCTTAAAACAACAAACATTTATCATCTTACATTTTCTGTCCATCAGGAATCCAGTTGCATCTCTGACTTCAGGTCTGTTGGGAGGTTGTAGTCAGGGTGTCAGCCAGGACTGTATTCTCATCTGAAGGTACTCTTCAGAGAGGATCTGCTTCCACATGGTTATTAGTGGGGTTCAGTTCCTCCCAAGCTGTTGTCTAAAGGCATCCCTCAGCTTTTCGCCACTTGGGCCTCTCTATAGAGCAACTGGCTTTCCTCAGAGCAAGGTAGTAAGGGCAAGAGAGAGCTCTCTTTGTAACCTAATTTCAGAAGTGACATCCCACCACTTGTCATATATTTCTCATTAGAAGTCATCAAGTCCATCCCAGTTTCAAAGTGAGGGGCATAAATAGCAAGAGGCAAGGATCACTGGGGGGCAGTCATCATAGCGACCACCTACCACAGACTCCAGTGTATGTAACCTGACAGCAGCCAGGCCTTAGAAATATCCCATATCACACCAGGCCCTGTGTGCCAGGGTGGTTTTTGTTCTTTGACATCAGAAATAGCATCTTTGCTGTTGAAAGTCTCAACTGTAGTCTGTATTAATAGAGCTTAGTCTCTGACCAAAGCCAGCTTTATTAGGTAAACTCTCTTTGTAATAACATTAGAGCATTTCCTTTATTATGACACATTCTCTTGTTTTCATTGTTTTCTTGTAGCCCTGGTTGCTGCTACGAAACAGCTATGACAAGGTTTTTTTATCATGGCCGTACAGAGACTGTGCGATCATGTACAGCAGAAGCAGTCAGGTGGTGCCAGTCCATGCAGGATCCTTCTACCAGTGTGAGTATTTGAAAAGAAAAAGTAGCAGAATTTGTCTGTTCTAAGGGAACCTTGGCCCTTAAATAACTAGCTCCTTTATCTCCGTTCCCCTGGATCAGTAAAATACTGTCAGACATTTTTTCCTGAAGTTTTCAAAACATTTATTTGTTCATTTGCCAGTGAAGTACGTCCAGTACTTGAAAAGAATAGGAAACGGGGGACCCCCGAGAAGAAGCCCATCGATGTCCTTTTCCAGGCAGAGTACCTTGAGTATTTCACTGCTGCTGTTCTGCCTTCAGAATAACACCAGTAAAATGCAGACATGCCCAGAGTGCCTTGAAAAGGAGGTTTTCCTAATGTGGTGGAATGTTTTTCAAATCACAGATTCTTAACAGTTTTATATGTTTTGTTTTACTTTTTTTTGGAAGCATTTAGGCAACAGGGTAGTTCCTTCCCACGGCTATTTTGGTATTGTATTTGTTTCTTTACTTTTGATATAGTGTATCTTAATTTATTTTAATTTCATAGAACTGCATCACTACCATTTTTGTGTAACTATTCTTTAGTTAGTTCTTTCCTTACACTTGATAATGTCACTTCAGTGCTGCCCACAAGTTCTTGTTTACCTGTCCCAGGAAAGACATAACCAAGATGCAGGGCATATAGGAAAGAAAAGGCAGTGGGAGAAGAGATGAACAGACACAGGAGCACATGTCTCAGTGTCTTCCTAGGAAAGCTTTTCTCTCCCAAACTTCCTGAATCCTAATTTCTCTGAGCTCAGGTTTTTTATCTGTTTGTTTTCTGTACAATTGGTTATTGAAGTATCTCTTGATTTTTAACACAGCTTCTTGAGCGGCAGCAAAAGATGTTAGAAGCTTTTGCAAAACATAATAAAATGATGAAAGATTGTTCAACTGGAAAAGGTACTTACGTTGTAATTATTCTGACTTAAAACAGTTCTCTCATGCTGAAAATTTTTCCTAACTTCAGACTTGGGGTTTCGTTGCAGGATTTGACCGCCATCTTTTAGGTCTTTTACTCATAGCAAGAGAGAACGGCCTCCCTATTCCAGAACTCTTTACGGATCCACTTTTCTCCAGAAGGTAATGCAATGTAGTATCTTACAAGTTTACCAATGAGTTTCTTTTTTCCTGAATGTTAAAAGCTCTTCAGAACAATGTAAACTTCTGTAACTAATATAATGTCTGTTCTTTGTGCCACCACAGCGGAGGAGGTGGAAACTTTGTTCTCTCAACAAGTCTGATTGGCTATTTAAGAGTCCAGGGCGTGGTGGTTCCCATGGTACACAATGGCTACGGATTTTTCTACCACATCAGAGACGACAGGTGAGGCCGCTGTTTTTATTCTTCCTGGGCTGTAGAGTAAGAAAGCTGTCACTTTTGTTGTTTGAATGTCTTTCTGATTGGGTTGTCATCTGTCACTTGCTAATGAGTAATTGTTTTTACCACTTAAATGTTGAATGCATTTGTTTCTCTATCCTGCTTTTGAGGCACTTGTCAAATTGGCCCATTAGGTGTTCTGTGCAGAATACCGTTTAAGGTTGACTCCGTGATTCTGGCATCCTCCTCAAAAGCCAGGACACATGTAAACCTAGGTGTTCCACCCAAAGCATTTATGGGAGTTCAGATAAAATGTGAGCCCGTAAACATGCGGTGGTTCATGTCGTCATAGACAGTACCCATGAGACCAAGACAGGAGACTGCATAAATTAACTTATAATAAAAAATAAGCTTTGCCAATTCAGATGCATTTCATTTGGGTGGTATGGGGTTTGAGTTAAGTTTGTGGAAAGAGTAAGAAAGAAACTAATAAAAACCTGGCAGGGGAAAGACATTGGGAACAAGGTAACGTGGAATTGACAGAAAGGCTTGAAGGTCCTTGTGCGCACAGTCTGGCAGTTTCTTCACAGGGATCTTTCCAAGCATGGGGGGCTTTATAAAAGATAATGTAGCCACAGGTAGCACCTAAATAAGTGAGCAGGCTTGGAGGCACTTCAGGTGGAATGTAAACATTTGGAATGATAATACATGTGACATTTCAGTTTCTACTATATGTTTTTATACTTGTGTAAAGAATTTACAGTCAGCGTTTTTTTTTCAAAATTTTATCATCTGCTTTCATGCCAAGTATGATAGTCTGTTATGCCAGTGATATGAGAATTTGTTGATATCTAAATCCTTGGGTTATGTAGTCTCATAGTATTCAATTTGTGTACATGAATCTACCAATTAAAGGTTGAATGATAAAGGTTAAACATGGATCTTATTGTCAGAATAAAGGGTCAGAGGTCTAAAATTTCATCACCATATACAGAGAATAAGCATTCTCACACATCTCCTGACGAGCAGTGGATTTCATATTGCATGCAATCATAAGAGAGTTTTGGTCGTGGGCTCTCTGACTTTTCAAAAAATATATTTTTAATGATCCTGGGGTAGAACTTTGATTTTGTCACTCAAAAATATTTAGTGAGAACTTAGAGTGTGCCAAAGACTGTTTTTGGTGCTGAGAACACAAGACGGACAAGATCCCCTCTCTTACAGATTTTATTTTCTATTTGGGAAAGGGGGGGAAAAGCAAATAAATGAGCAGGATAGCTTCCAGTAGTACTGAGCACTGTGGAGGAAGTAAGCAAGGTGCGGTGGTAATAGGCTCACTGGCGGGGAGATGGGACCCCGCTTTTAGACGGGGTGGGGCAAAGGCAGGTGTACAGTTGTGAGTTTGACAGCTCTTGTATTTGTGAATTACTGTATTGTTTTCCATACACACAGCTGCACACCTGCCTTTGCCCCACCCTGTAGTATGGTCAGGGACGTCGTCTGGGGAGTGACAGGGAAGCTGAGATGTTAAGGAGGAGAACTTACTCACCTGAAGAGCCGAGGAGGCAGCTCTCCAGGACCCGATCGCTGCTCTGTCAGCAGTGCTGTCGCTCCAGCTGAACTCTCCTCTCCACTTAGCTTCTTGCAGCAGGTTCCTATGTGGTCTTCTTGCTTCCACCTTCCCTTCCCTTCCCTGCAGGTCATTCTCTACCCAGCAGTCCCAATGGTCATTTTAAAACTGTAACTGAAGTCATATCATTCTACTCAAAACCCCCCCAAAGGCTTCTCATTTTACCCACAGTAAACTCCGAAGTCCTCCTGTGAGACCCTGCACGGTCTAGCTCTCACTTACCTCTCTGACTTTATGTCCTGCCACTCTCCTATGTCACCCAGCCACATTGGCCTCCTTGTACCTTGAACATACCAAGCAAGCTCCCTTCCCAAGGCATGCACAGTCATGATTTCCTCGGCCTGGTACTCTCTTCCTTGAAGTATGTGCAAGAATCACTCCCTTACTTCATACAGATATTTGCTGTCACTGAGAGGCCTTCCCTGACCATCTAAAATAGCACTTCCCCCTCCCCCCCATGTACCTGCTGCATTTTAACACTTAAAACCACCCAAATTGTGTGTGTGCCTTATACATGTTAAAATCTCCCTTCCTAGAATATACACCCACAAGATTTGTCTGCTGTTGTGTCCCCAGCTCTGAAACAATGACTTGAAAATATGGTGCACTTGGGAATGTTTTCACAGGACAGGTTGAACATAAGTAAACAAGTCCTGGGGTAGGAGGGAAGAGCTTGGCCATTTATAAGGAAAAGGCAGAGGCAGTATTGCTATGAATTAGCAAGTAAGCGGGAGTGTGGTAGAAGCTGAAGAGAGGCAACAAGAGCTGAATCTTGTAGGGCAGTGTTCTCAGTCTTGAGAGCACATTAGAATCACCTAAGAGCTTTAAAAACACGGCTCCCGGAGAGACTGATTTGGTTGGGGTGGTCAGTTGGTGTAGGGCCTTGTAACATGGTAAGGAGTTTGGATTTTCTCCTAAGAATAATGGGAAGCATTTTATCAGTGTTAAGCGTGAATGTTACATGTTTTATTTACATGTGAAAAGGACCATCGGCTGTTATATGGAATATAAGTTAGGTAGACAGGGGCAAGAGTGAGGTGAGAGCAGTCGGTTAGGAAGCACAGAGGATAAGTCGAACCATGCGGTGGTAATAATGAAGGTGAAGAGAAGTGGAGGGATTTGAGACATGTTTGGAAGTAGAACTAGTAGGACTTACTGATGGGTTGCTGATTCTGATGGTGGCATTTAATGGGATGGACAAAATTAAGGGACAAATGGGTTTGGGAACATGTTAGGGTAGAATCCAAGAATTTTGTTTTGTACATGTTGACTTTGAGATCTCTGCTAATACAGGAATTTATTATATTTATATCCTAGAGAATATGGGTCTATAGGCCATTGGACATATGAGTGTGGAACTCAGAAAAGAGGTCAGGGATAGAGGTCTACATTTATGAGTCATTACTGTGCGTACACCCAAAATAGTTTTCAAATGAAATGCATGGAAACTGTCTGGAAGGTATTTTTTTCATTGATTATTAAATGTGAAAATGTATGAATTAAAGAAAATTGGTTTATTTTTGAAATAGCATTTTGTTTTAAATGTACTACATGCTTATTATAAAAATTTTATAAACTATTGAAAAATTTAGATCACATTATAAATATTTTCATGTCCTTTGTGTGAATTTTAGTCTCAATATTATTTCAAGCAACTTCCAGCACCATTAAATATGCTTTGAGCTATCTTAATGGTTGAATAATGTCTAGTCTTAGGGATTCCTATAATCTAACCTCTTACCTACAATTTCCAGTTTTTCATTATTACAAATAATGATAATATATCCTTCCTTATTTCATCACAGCATTGCTGACTCTGAGCATTATAAAACATTCTTTACCAATTTGTAGGGGAAAATAATACAACTTGAATTCTTTACTTATGAACAAAACATTTTTTCTTTGTTACTGAAACCTATGTACATTCTTTTGTGAAGATAGTTATTTCTTTCCTTAATTTAGAAAGATAACTGAATTTTTGAAAAATTTGACACTTAAATAGGAATTGTTGATCTTTGCAAAGGAATATATTTAGATGTTGATAAGTATTTGAGAATTACATGCAGTGTAGCATGAAAATGACAAGTTATGTGAAATCACTGGGTGAAACAAGGCCTTCCTGTAGGGTCCTGTGTATCTTTCAGCAAATATAATCCACTCAAAGATTACTTCATCATTGTATCCTGGGCCAGAGCATGTTTTTACTTCATTCTGCGTATCCAAAGTACATGTCAAAGATACATAATATACTGAGAATTGCATGGTTGTCCGCAGCTTTACATTACACAATGCTTTGGTTTTTACTTGAGCTTTATGTATGTTTTGCTATAGAAAATTTGAGTGTCTGGAAAGGAGAAGGCTAGTTCCAAGGGAGTTCATAGCCCAGTTTCTGCTCTGAGCCCACGGGAAGCCCAGCTTCTTTCCTATTTCCTTCAGCTTTCAGGGCCACCTGCCAGACTGGGATTTCTTCATCAAGAGGACCTACAAGGAGATGGTGGAAGATGGTCCCAAGAGAGTTTCTCCCTGGCTTTCCTAAAATAGCTTTTTTCTCCTCTTATACTTCTCTATTTTATTTTATTTTTTTGCTCTCTTCAAGTGCTATATTCTTCTTTAAAAATAGTTCAAAGTTTCATTGCAAACAATGGCATGAATTCATATTCCACCTCATTCCATTCAGAGCACACTTGGGAAGGTCTATTTTAGGGAGAGGTGGGCTTGTTTCTTTAATACAGTAAGACCTTGCTCCCACCACTCTGACCTCTGGCCAGTGTTTTGTTCCCTTTTGTCCTTAGTCTCCAGTCACATAGTGAATTCAGTGTTCGCAGCATTATGTATAAGTATGCTCCTACTTTCCATGTGTCAGGTTACATTTACCTAATGTCAGCCAGAATTCATGCTTCATATATTAACAGCCAGATAGATAAAGGTCATCATCATTTGGTGCCTTTTGCTTAGTACTTAATCATTTGTTGTGCTCCACAGGTTCGTTGTGGCCTGTTCAGCCTGGAAGTCATGCCCAGAGACTGACGCAGAGAAGCTCGTTCGGCAGATTTTCCAGGCTTTCCATGATATGATGCGGCTGATGAACCTTGCTCATTTCTAGAGACTAATTATTGACTAAGCCCTTACCAAAATTTATCATTTAACCTGGGTGCTGGGATTGGGCTGGAGAAGTGAGATAGGAAGGAGTGTTGACTTGAAGGAAATGTAGACATTAATAGAATCATGCTCTCTAAATTTATTCTCACACAGAAAGTAGAAATATTATTTTTAAGCTTCCTCTGATGCAGCAGCAATGCAAATTTTGATATAATGAATTTAGAACTATGCAAAGTTTAAGATAAGCCTCAGCAATGCAAATCTACAAATTTTAACA